ATTTAATTATGAAATGACATCATTAAATATGACATAAACCTAATACATACAAATATACAAACAGATGTTACACTATTAACTAGTTGTATATATCATTACAATGATATTATACAGTAAAACTTGTCCTAGATGGCACTTAAAATTTGTATTTTTTCTTTGACATTCTGGTTAATCTTAGCATTTTGTTTATTTTTTCATAAAAGGGATAGAATTCCCTGCCTTCATTAGCCAAGGTGGTACGAAAAGAGAAAAGTTTGATAACCATATTTTCCAGTGTATAGGACCAGTGTTGGGAATTTAACATTTTCCTTGTCAGACATTTTACTGAAAATAAAGGGGCATAACTCTTATCATTATTTAAGCAGGTGGTTTCAGACCACAATTAAAAATCATGCATCAACAAATAAAAAATAGGTACATAATAAAAAAATAGGTGCACCTCGCTATTTGTCATATTTAATTCCTGTATGGTATCAGTAATATTCCTATTATATATGAAACACAGCATTAATGTTCGATTAACATGACGAGTACAGGGCCGTAACTAGCTCAGAGCAACAAGGGGGGTGGGAAGTGTTCTCAGGTGCCTGGGCGAGTAGGGCCAGGGAAATGAAATTAAATGTGGTTTCAGGTTCTATATACTTTTCCGCACCGACTAGACTAAGGTATTATGTGCGTTAGACCAGGGTTTTCTGTGTTTAACATATTTAAGCTAAATGAATTTAGTGCACTCTGTCAATAAAATGGTACCATAGCCTACAGCATCAGTAAATCTGATGTTATCATATCATTGAACTTTAATAATTGTATATTATTACTATATGATTAGAATACTGATTAAAAAACAAGAACACTCAGTGATCAACATCCCACGCCCTGTATATAAATAAAAAACACCAAATAGGTTTCCATGGAAACTCAAAAATTATAAAATTCTAAAAATTTAAAAATAGCAACAGGCATAACTACTATAATTGGTTGATGTGTGTACAAAGTTTGATAAAAAATATCTTGAACGGTTTATTAGATATACTCAGGAAGCAAATCAGATTGATGGGAAGAAAGGGACCCATTTCAATATCCCGTCCTAACTTTGTTTGGTGCAAGATAATAACAAATTTATTATTGTCTGGAAAAATAAATTACATTTACAAATACAGACAGTGTTGTACCTTGGGGTATCAGTTTTTATATCACAACTATGCATGATAAACTTTTCAAAGAAAAACAGTCGGTTTACTGAGATGTTAATACTGTGGAACTGTAAGGAACATATATCTGTTGTTTTTATTATGTCTGTTGTCAGTCGTCATATTACAGACGGACAGGGGCGACGACAATATACGTCCACATGAAAATATGGACGTATAAAAAAGGAATATTCCATTGGTTTTTTTATGTCAGTTATCAGTAGTCATATTACTGAGATGTACGCTTGAAAAGTTTAAACTGTATAAAAATAGCTAAATATTTAATAACTGTGAAAGTACTTTGGTCGGTTTTAATTATTTTCGACAGGATGCGACTATAATATCTGATCAAGCGCAAGTAAATCAATAAATATAAACTCTACATGATTATTTAATCGAGTTCACCATAACTCTTTTGTACTTGATCAACACAATCAATCTACGCAATACATCTTGTTTTGAGACAAATATAGTATTTTTTTTGTATTTTGGATGGAGTATTTTGGTTTATGGAATGCACCTACTCATTTTTAAAGACTACAGGATGCTCTTTTGATGGGAGGGCAGGGGAGGAGAAGGGAAGAGCCATAGGGTAAACTGTATAGAGATTGATATCAAGTTTTATCCATCAAATATAATAATGAATCATTATGTAATGTATGCACAGATATGTATCTTGTTTATTGCATGTATATGGCAGTCGAGGAGAGGGGAAGGGGCATCAAGGTAATGTATAGAGATTGATATCAATATTCATACATCATATCAATTATACATCAATCTGTATCTTGTTTATTCTATGTACATGGCAGGGGAGGAGAGGGGAAGGGTATTGCAATTAAATGTATCGAGACTGATATCAAGAATAATACATCAATTATACGTCAATCTGTATCTTGTTTATTGCAGAAATTAATGTAATCTGATTAAAATACAGATCTATATTTGGTTTCGTTTTTTTATACTTTCGATGGCCTACACTACATGAAGATCTGACCGGCTGTAGTGGAAGGTCGCATCAGAGGTCACACAAGCGGCTTTTGACCCTATGACATCAGACATTTGATGTTTCTAGTGGATTACCCACAGTTCTGTGCACCTTACGCCATCCCTAATCCCTCACATCATCCAGAATGTGGGTTATATAACAAATCTTCCAGATCCTAGTGTAGTAAAGACAAGTAAAACAAAATTTTGAACTATAACAAACGAAATGAAATAGTATCTGTGTTTTAATCAGATTAAAATTTATGAATCTGAGGGGAAAAAATATGTTGACAAATCCTGCAGAAAACAGAATTCAAATAAATATAGATTATTTTGTAATGCATGCTTATCCTTATTATTGTGTGTCCTTCAAAGAGATCAAAAATATTGTCAAACCTGAATGAAGTATGATTCAGATAATGCATTTTATTTAAATGAAAAATTTAAAGATATAATATTGATGGTGATTTTACTCTAAAAAAAAAAGAGTGCCCAATATGTTGGTGCATGTTCAAATAAATGTATCATGAAAATAATGATTAGTCATGACAATTAAACAAATAAAAATCAAACAACATTTAATTCTATATAATTCTAGCTAAGTGTTAAAACAAAAATAATTAATGTCCATTGGTGTCTATAAGAAAAAAACTATATCATGCAGTGAATCGGTACTAAACTTTACTGCTATGGTTTTTTGGGGAAGAAACAAATAGGGGCCCATTTTTTTTTCTTTTATTTACATTCACATTTTGTTAGAAATAAGTAGGAACATATAAGTACCTTCCTTATTTCACCATATGAAGATGTCTATATTAACACCTCAAATTCAGTTTAATAAATGTATTGAAAATCTAAAGTTTACATGCCTTATTCAAATCTAAACTATCAACTTTGTATTAATTTTCTAAAAGTCTACCTATCTAAGTAAATTCAGTCTTTAATAATAAAAATCTACCTAAGTAAATTCACTCTTTAATAATAAATATTGTCTAATAAACCATGCCAGTTAACACTCGAGGCAAAGAATTATGGGATATGCGTAAGAGATACTCACATTTAGTAAAGCATGGAGTTTTAAATTCGAGAATAATCGCTCTAGAAGTTCAGCCTAGAATTGAGTGAGGCATGCAATGTTAAAAATTGATCACAAAGTTTATAATTTGAGAAAAGCTTTGATGAATTTAATGAAAGATTTTGTAGCAGAAAAATTGATCACAAAGTTTATAATTGGAGAAAAGCTTTGATGAGTTTAGTGAAAGATTTTGTAGCAGAAAACAGGAAATTATGATCAAAGTAATCAAATATATTATTTCAATATATATTAATAATGGAGAGAGATATATATCCTCATATAAAATGCGGACATATAAGGACGTGTAATTATGAACTGTTGACAGTTTTGTACGGGTTGAGCAGGGTATTTTTTCTTTTTTCCACAATTTCTGGTGTATAGGATGCATATAAACGCTTGATAACCATTTTATCAAAATCATTTCAATTTTTAGCTTTTCAGCCACTCATGTATTGAGAACAATGTTTTGTTTAAAATTTCAAAACTTTAGAAATACAAGCTTTTGAGAAGAGCAGCCAATGACTGAATAAATAAACTTGCTCTTGTTACTGCACTCTATTATTGGTGAAGACTGAACATGATTTACCTCCCCTGACAGACTAAAAATATTTCTCCCATCTCCTTTCTGGATATTTTTCATATGTTTTTTATATCTTTTTTAGCATGTTATTTATTCAAATAGACTCAAAGATTAAAATATCACCAAAGCCTTAGTGAATACCAACTGATAAATATCAATAGGTGTATGTTTATTAACCTAACTTGACCAGAATTATCTCCCTTGAATAATTATTGTGATAATAGTCTTCAAGGTGTAAAGATGGACGATTTGTGATTAAAATTTCTTTTATAAAGATAAATAAGATATCAATGGTGAGACTGTTAAAGTTTGTATCTCAAAACAGTTTTCAGGAACGACAAAAGCAGTTCAATTTCTTTTTAAAACAAAAAATTCATTTTTGGAGCTGTGTGTAATATATATTTGTGTGTATAAAATGAAAATAAATTCAAGTTAATGTAGTGCATATGTCTTAAATTTGTATTTATGTATATCACTGTTGTCTTGATAAGAACAAAATCACATTAATCATGTCGATGATGAAATTTCTCTTTTGTAAATAATGCATGATGAATGTAAGTATATCTGTGAATAAAATTGAAGAGTCCAGGGGAAGAACGATCTAAGTCACATTTTTGTCTTTGTGCATAAAATAAAACAGATTTTTGGACGAGAATGCTTGACGCAAACAGAATGAGTGGGTTTAATTACAACTTCAAAATGATGTTTAACATGAACCATAATTACCAGTACAACTGACTTCAATTTTTCAGGCAAATTAAGGTTAAATAAAGAATACAATGAACTTGTATTTGTCCGGGAGGCCATTTCATAAGGGCCTTGGTTCGATGTGACTCCGATCGTTTTTACCTGAAATTGATTCTTCCACAGTAAGCTTATTCAATTTGCTACCAGATGGCACCATTAACTGGGGTTTGTTGATAAAGTGACTTAGATCATTCTTCCCCTGGGGTCTTCAATTGTATATAATATTGAACATCTAATTATCTATTTTGAATTTGTGACTGAATATGTTACATGCAATAAAGTGTTGGGCTAATTAAATTAAAATTAACTCACATTTAGTAACGAATGGAGCTTTTGTATCTTGTAAAACACTTTGTAAATTTGTTACTGTATATGTTGCATGCAATAAAGTGTTGGGATAAATAAATTAAAATTAACTCACATTTAGTAACGAATGGAGCTTGGTATCTTGTAAAACACTTTCTACAAATTCTTTTTCGTCCTCTGTACTATCAGCTAGACATTGTATCTCTTCTAAAGAATCGAGTACCTGGGACACAGCTCCTTGGATAAAATTATACAAAATTTATCTCCCTTAGTATTTTATTCTAAACTAAAATCTAGTTTCTGTTTGTGAAATGAAATGGAGTTTAACGTCCTACTGTTCTGCTCCTATACTGGGCTAATGAAGATGGGCATGTGCCATACAGTGTGCTATGAGGGAAATTTTGCCCGGGCAGCGGCACTACGGCCTACTCTTATATCGAATTCAAACTGCCAAGGGATCTTTTACGTGCATTCCAATATATATACACGGGACCTTGGTTTTTCGTCTCATCCAAAGGACTAGACAGCTGTAGTTTCTGTTTGTACCAGGATGAAAATAAATTGAAATGAAAGAGGGTTTAAGGTCCTGCTTTTCGATACCGACTGGGTTTACGAAGGCGGTTGTAAGCGAAATAATGCAAGCACAGCGGCTATTCCACCTAATATTGATCAGATTCCAATTGTTAAAGATACATTATGGGAGATTAGATAAAGAGCTGGCAATTTTCACTATAATTGTTTAAAAATAGATAACGTAAATAGAATATCTTAAAAATTTCAGTCAAATTGATCCACTCTGAACTGAGATATTTGCGATTGAATTTTGGGCCTAGCCTTGATCATCATTACTAAAGTCGGTCCGATAAAATACATAGTCTAGATTATCCATTTTTGATTTAATCATGAATGAGCGTTGAGCAGCAGGACAGATTATAATCCAGTAAATATCGCAGGTTAGCGATGACATCGAGAGTTGATTTTGGTCTGGATAAGTTAATCAATGTCTAATTAGTAATTTAGATAACATTTCAGGACTAAAGAAAGACCTGCAATAGGCAGATTTACCTCTCGTATAATGTATGTTTAAGGTTTCTTTTACTTAAAATGTCTCAGTGCTAGGCAACATACTTGAGTCTTGGGAGCATACGATCAAAGAAATGAAATGGGGTTTAACGTCCTACTGTTCTGCTCCGACTGGGCTAATGAAGACGGGCATATGCCATACAGTGTGTTATGAGGGAGATTTTGCCTGGACAGTGGCACTATGACCTACTCTTATATCGAATTCCAACTGCCAAGGGATCTTTTACTTGCACGCCAATGTATACACGGGACTTTGGCTTTTCGTCCCAATACAATCAAAGAGTTGGTTGCTAGCATCACCAATCCTCAGCATGTTGATAATGGAAGAAATATTTGGTCCTGTAGCACCATGTTTTTTGTCTTGTTTGCATGTTTATCTTCTAGGTTTATAGTTAAGTGGGGGTGGGGGGGTGGATGACCAAATAGTTAGCATGTGCGCGCTGTACCATACGGTCTGCCATTGAGTCAACTGGCGGGGGTTTCGATTCCCCGGTTGTATGTGGCAAGGAGTAGGGTTGCCTGTCCAACCTCAAGGGTTTTATTCGGGCCCTCCGGTTTCCTCCAACTGCTAAAGACCCCTACGCGCAAGCGAATTATATTGTAATAAAATTGAACCATGTGTTAGTCCCGAAATGACCTAGTTTGTGTTGAGTGGACGTAAAATCCCATTTCTCTCTCTCTCTTTATATCTGTATGACTGGGCTTCAAGGGCTTTAAAGTTCTAAGGATAAGTATAACATAATAATAATCTCACCAGCAGATGTAACATCATCCCCTTCTATATCTGGGGGTGGGGGATCATTATAAAATGACGTCCATTTGGAACTGGAGACTGCTGCCATTATAGCACCCTGTAAGAATATAGAAAGGGAGACAACTAGTATTATTACTGTTGGAAACAGAACTATGATATATGTAAACTTCCATAGCACCATGGACAGAAGCTCTGTCAGGGGTACCCCACCACTAGAAATGTCTGTCAGAGTGTTTTTGTAATACCTGAAGATGTACGGTACACTGCAATAAGATTTTCTTGTGGTACACTTTTGAGCCAATCTAGCCTAGTTGGGGATCATGGTATTTAGGGCATGGAATACCACACCCACCACCAGAAACCCGGCAGACTTACATTCTGATGATACCAGATATACATACATTGATACCATATAGGAGAAAATTGGTACACTTTTCAGCTAGGTTGACCCCCTGGGCTCCCGGTCTATATCTACTAAAATTTGGATTTTATCTTTAGTTAAGATTTCGAGAAACAGTGCCCTGTTAATCGAGTTAATCAGTATTGAGTAGCAGTGTATCAATAACACTAACAGACTAAAATTTCGGAAAAGTGTGACTGAAATAAAGTCTATATCTGTTGGATTTACAATATTATGCAGAGCTTTATTACAGTTACACTATTTTAAAAAGATTATTATGAAGATTTCAAGTAGTGTTACAACTACTCTTTCTTCAAAGCAGTGCCAGAAACGTAGGCCTATCGGAATAATTTAAATGATATTTCAGGGTTGATTCCTATTTTGAACATGCAATATTCACAACCATGTCATTTGTTGACGTAACAGCCATTCACTCGGTAGTGCTGATATCAATCAAGTAAAATTTTACGCACTGATACATCGGGAGCAAACATTGATACTTTCAATGCATGGATACATCGGTAAATTAGACCACACAGAAACTCATTTAGTACCCATATTAATACCAGTGCCTACCTTTGTTATATATTCGCTAATATCTATCTCATTTTGTAAAGAAAATCCATGAATTATTTTTATTCTATCAAAACAGCATGTCATTTAAAGACTCAGGGGATGTAACTCTGAATAATATAAGGGGAGGGCTTAAACCTTGCTTTTAGCAGTAATTGGTGATAGATACTAGATGATTGTAAATAAACTAGCAAGAAATTTTGAAAAATCGTCATAAAAACTGTCAACAACTTTTTACAGTTAAAAAGGGGAAAGAGAATTGTCTATGTCAGAAATACAAGAAGCAAAATCTATGATTAGCATTTGTTTGAATCAAGTTAGCTACTTTGTAGCAAACTTATTAGCACTGGGTAATTTTTGATTCGCAATATACGATGCGAATTCGGTTATCGAGACCCCTGAAAGGTACCAATATACTGCTATTGGAATCAGAAACTTACTTTAAGTTTTCTTCTGGCATTAAATTTTTTCAGTTCTTCAACAGTTTCATGTAAATGTACTTTTGGTATGTTTCTTTTATCCTGAAACATGTAGAATATTATCATTAAAACTTGAACAAGCCAACAGTGAGGCTGATGTCCCCCGCTGAAATCCCGAAATAAATAGATGACATATATTAATTAATTGCATGTTTATCTTTTTCAAAAGTATCCAGCAATCAAACTGATTATTAAGTATACATTAAGTTTCATCACTCTCTATCAGATAGAATCAAAATAAACAAGGCATTGACCTAATAAACACATACACCAAGTTTGAACATTCTAGCTCAATTAAAAGTTATCGTGTCCCAAAGCATCAACCAATCAAATTGCTTATCTCTGCTTACCCTAAGCGGAAAATGCTCATCTTCGAACTCCATCAAGGCATTGACCTAATCAACACATACACCAAGTTTGAACATTCTAGGAAGAGAGTTATCGTGTCCCAAAGCATCAACCAATCAAATTGCTTATCTCTGCTTACCCTAAGCGGAAAATGCTCATCTTCGAACTCCATCAAGGCATTGACCTAATAAACACATACACCAAGTTTGAACATTCTAGCTCAATTAGGAAGAGAGTTATTGTGTCCCAAAAAGTGTGACGGACAGACAGACGGACGGACAGACAGACGGACGAACCCATTTTAATAGTCCCCTGCTTTCTTCGAAAGGCGGGGGACAATTAGATTGACTGAGACATGGTGAGAAATAACAAATGATCAGGGGTTAGTGCCAAATTATAAGGCCAGCTCAATTTTTCGTCATAGGTCACGAGATGTAAACGGGGCTAGCGCTAATCCCAACCCTAACCCTAACCCTGGACCTAGCCCCAATGCTTACCCTAACCCTAACCTACAATCTCGCCAACAATCATGTGCCCTAATCTTATTTACATCTTAGTTTTCTCAGCGACCTTGACAAAAATTGAGCTGGCCTTAACAAATAGATTTAGCCATGATGAGCCCACCTTTAACAAATAGATGATGAGCTGGCCTTTAACAAATAGATTCAGCCGTGATGAGGATGTGACAGAAGAATTCTTCTATGCTTGCAGTTTACACTAGCCTCTGCTAATGGCCAAGTTTACTACGCACCAAGATTCTTGGTATAATAAAACAAATTTTATAATATTTATGCTATGAAGAGTTGTCTTCTCTTGCAGTTTACACTATATTATAATATTCATGATAAAATAACATAGTATATAGAAATGCAAGGGAACTCTTTTGCAAAGCCTGACAATAGAAACAGGGTTTTACACAGGTCATTAACTGAAATTTAACAAGACAGTTCCTTGCAAAAATAAAATGACTAATAAGTAAAACTCAGTTATATACTGGATAACTGAGGCCACCTCATTACACATTATATAACATGATGAGTTATACACTGGATAACTGAGGCTACGACATTACACATTATATACCATGATGAGTTATATATTGGATAACTGAGGCTACGACATTACAGATTATATAACATGATGAGTTATATACTGGATAAATGAGGCTACGACATTACAGATTATATAACATGATGAGTTATATACTGGATAAATGAGGCTACGACATTACAGATTATATAACATGATGAGTTATATACTGGATAACCGAGGCTACCACATTACACATTAGTTATAAAGACTAACCTTAATCCAGGGATGTTCGAGAGCCTCTTCAACTGTGATACGCTTCTCAGGGTCTAATTCTAACATTCTATTTATTAAATCTTTGGCTAATGTTGATAAACTATTCCATTGTTTCGGTCGCATCTAAAATGTACAATAAAAAATTTAATTTATAATATCCAGATGGAACTAAGATCACTTGTTAAAGGGAGACAATAGACTATTGAGAGAGAGAGAGAGAGAGAGAGAGAGAGAGAGATGGGGTTTAACATCCACTCGACACAGACTAGGTCATTTCGGGACTAACATATGGTTTCATTTTTTTTAATAATTTGCTTACATGTAGGGGTCTTTAGCAGTGGGAGGAAACCAGAGGACCAGGAGAAAACCCACAAGGTTGGACAGGCGACCCGAATCCTTGTCGTGTACAACCGGGGATTCGGAACCATGTCATTTGACTCAATGGCAGGTCTTATGATACAGAGCGCACGCGCTAACCATTCGGCCATCCACCCCCTACATATTCCCAACATAGCTCATATTCATACTCACAAAATAGCTGCCTTTTACAATTAAATCATATAATCTTTGTTTGGTTCCACAGAATGGTGGATAACCAGACAGCAGTATAAAGGATAAAACCCCACAGCCCCACATATCTACAGCTTTACCATATGGTTCACGTTTTATCACCTCCGGAGCCATATACTGGGGCGTACCAACACGACCTAAAAAAAACCAAAAAATCATTTTTATATCTAAAATGATATCGGGTTTAACGTCGTACTATTTTTCTAATGGGCTAAATTGCAATGTCAATTCAAGACACGAAATGTTAATTCAAGTCCTGATATGTTAACTCAGGAATTAGTCAAGATATATTAATTCAAACCATATATTTTTAATTCAAACCATATATTGTTAATTCAAACCATATAGTGTTAATTCAAACCCTATAGTAAGTATTAATTCAAACCATTTGGTTAGATATCCAGCGCTTTATAAATAGATTATTATTATTATTAATTCAAACCATATAATATTAATTCAAACCATATACTGTTAATTCAAACCATATAGTATTAATTCAAATCAAATATTGTTAATTCAAACCATATATTGCTGATTCAAATCATGAAAATGTTACATCAAATCATGAAATGTCAATTCGAACCATGTATTGTTAATTCAAATCATGAAAGTCATACCAATAAAAACGCCCAATTTTTAGACACAGAAAACATTAAATTATGATAAAACTATTAAAGTATAAGTACTATAAATGATCTATTTAAAAGGGGATCAGTTATATATATTTGTAGTACCAGTAAACAAATTACTGCATTGTAAACCAGGGACAGCCAGTGGTTTAAATGTCTACAAAATCTGAATCTGGCTTGGATTTTAACATCAAAAAACGCAAAAGCAGGGATTATATTAAAGATACATTAGGGTTTACACAATAGATGAAAGTGTGATTTAGATGTATATAATAATAATTTTCTCCAAAGGACATTCTAATTAAAAGTACATCATATTTTCCGTTTTGTTTTCTTCTGTCGTTCTTCAGTTTTAACTTCCGCTTCATCCAAAGGGGATATCGGTGAGAAGGTGACCCTATCTCCAAGCCACATGACCGCAAGTCAGAGGTGACCAGCCAGCTAAAGATCAAAGAGTGACATTCTAGAACACTAGGCCATCTCCCTCAACCCTGTTTCTTTTGAACTTTTATGTTGTTATAATGTTGTTCTTATTTGCACTACAGCAAGGCCTAACAACATCTTTATGACACTTGTGTTTAACTGACCTAACCTAACTTCCTATCTATTCATGGTACTCCTTTGGCGAAATTAGATCTCAGAGACTTCAATCAAAATATTCATAAGTTTTCCATACATTGGAAATATTATATAAAATTAGTCAGAACTCAATGTATGTTAGTACAAAGATTAGCCATATAGTTGATACAAAGATTAGCCATAAAGTTGATACAAAGATTAGCCATATAGTTAATACAAAGATTAGCCATATAGTTGATACAAAGATTGATACAAAGATTAGCCATATAGTTGAAATAATATGGTTAACAGGTTAATAATAAACAGTTCCAATAACATAATTATTCACCTTTGGTTTTACTTGTTTTAATGTAACTGGGAAAATCCAGATATGTCAATATAAAGAACTAGTATATTTTTAACTATGTATCGAGTTCTTTTTTTCTAAACCCCAAAATATTATCTAAATATGTATACTCAAGAAGACGTTTCCAATAATAATAATTTTAACACTGGTAGTTCAACGATCAAAGACAGTGTAAACCAGTTGATTCATCATCCACTTTCAATTCAGAAGGTCGTCAATTTTCATTTTAAAATAAGATCACTGGAACATCCAATGACATTAAACAAGTTAAAACAGAAGATGATGCGTAAAGGGAGATAATTCATGTGGTGTTGTGAGAACACACACACACAGAGCAGATCTTACCAATCATTTCTTCTTTAACATAATACATAGGTTCAAAATCTTGAGATGGCAGAGTGTCTGTAAACATACACCAATAACCCAAATATATACATAAACATGCACATGCAATATCAAGCATTTTACATAATGAATAAATAAATAAATAAATAAATAAATTCATCAATAAATATGGTTATAATGTAAGCTGTGTACTACTAACAAAATACCCTAAACTTTTCTAATTATTACTGCATATTCAATAAATAAATAAATAAAAGTCAGAGCATCTATAAAAAAAAACCCGAGGTTCTCTAATATATATTATAACCAATTCTATACCAATATTTCACCATGCAGTTTGGCTACTTACAATAATAATGATAATGTTCGTCTAATTAGAAAAAAAAATAACACAAAAAAATTTCAAGTACACATCAAAAATGCAGACTAAGCACAAAATGGACACATCTATCAAAAAAATACACAGATTGAGCAACATAATGTATTGACTGAGAGGGAAAGTAAATTTTCAGAACAGTTGAGGAGATCAGGAATTCCCATTCATCAAAATAATAAAATGAAATGAAATGGGGTTTAACATCTTATGCTCCTGACCGGGCTAATGAAGACGGGCATACGCCATACAGTGTACTATGAGGGAAATTTTGCCCGGGCAGCGGCACTATCGCCTACTCTGCTTATATCGAATTCCAACTGTCAAGGGATCTTTTAAGTGCACGCCAATGTATACACAGGTCCTCGGTTTTCGTCCCATCCAAATGACTAGACAGGTGTCCTTGTCAGGCCTTCTGTCTTGCAACAATGGCAAGGGTAAACCACGCAGGGAAATAACTGATGAACTTTCTTGGCCAATGCAAGGATCGAACATGTCACCTCCAGACTAGCGAGCCAGTGTCTTACCCACTTAGCCACCGTGGCTCCATTAAAAAATAATACACATATTGAACGACGGTTGGCGAGATCCAAAATTCCACTACCCCAAGGGTTAGTGTTAGAGGTAGGGGTTAGGCGATAACTCAGTGATGCAGTGTAGGGTCGCAACTACAGGAGAATGGGTTCAGTTTGAGTTTAATTCTCATTGGATGCAAGGGAATGTTTGACGCACAACTCATGCTTTTTGGGGCAGATTCTATATAAACCCTTCCCTTAATGTTCAAATTTCTTCCCATTGAACCCGATCTCCACAAATTTTCTGAAAATCGACAACACCGAAATTAAGCAAGATCATACACAAATTTAGTAAATCAATGCATAGGATGGAGCTAAGAAGTGCATAAAATTAAGGAAATATATAAATGCAATAAAAATCAGATTTTTTTTTTTGTGCAATTAGATTTATTTTCGCTAAACATAATACTTTAAAAAAAATACAACTACCTCCGGAGATTTTACCATCTTCTGGAAGTTGCATGGCAACACCAAACCCGCCCAGTTTAACTGGGGCCGAGTTTTCTTTGGAAGCAAGAAGAACACAATGAGGTTTAAGGTCACGATGAACGATATTGTTTGCATGACAGTAGTGTAAGGCCTCAAGGATTTGGCGAATATAATGACTGAAAAGAAACAAGAAATAAATAATAATAATAAATGTATATTTCTGTAGCAATAAAACTGCACAAAAATAGTGCTTGTAGCTCTTGACACAGGCACGTTAACTAGGGTGGCGCGGGGGGGGGGGGCTTCACCCACCCCCCATCTGCAAAGAGTTTTGCCCCCCCTCCCCCCCGTTATTGTCGACCATAAATATACATTGTCCGTCAATTTTACAGCACCCCTGAGAACACTTCCCACCCTCCTCGTTGCTCTGAGCTAGTTACAGCTCATGGCTCTTGACAAAACATAAAGAGCCTTTAGTTCTCAGTTATAACTTGTTTGAAACAAATGAGTTTTCAAAAGTTACTTGAATGATGATAAGGGGGTGCATTGATGTAAATGACATGAAATGAAATGTGGTGTAACGTCCTACTGTTCTGCTCCGAACTAGGCTAATGAAGATGGGCATACACCATACAGTGTGCTATGAGGTAAATTTTGCCCGGACAACGGCACTACAGCCTACTCTTATATCGAATTCCAACTGTCAAGGAATCTTTTACGTGAATGCCAATGTGTACACAGGACCTCGTTTTTTTTATCCAATCGGAATGACTAGACGGCTGTCCTTGTCAGGCCCTCCATCCTGCATCACTCACAAGGGAGAACCAAACCAGAAAATCTGGATGAACTTTCTCGGCCAAAGCAGGGATGAAACATCTGACCTCCAGACTAGCAAGCTAGCGTCTTACCCACTTAGACACCATGATCCCTGCGCATTGATGTATGTTAATAGTCAATTTTAGAAACTAATATTTATTAGTCTCTATCATCCAGTACCAGCGGCTGCCAGGCAGGATATGCCCACATTTTCTAGAGATGGATAGAGAACAAGCTAACAAGAAAGTGATTTTTCCTACTATCAAGGGTCATAATACAGGAAATTACAATTCAATATGCGCGAATACTTAGGGTGCAACAGTGATATAATAATACAGTTTTTTAAATCGGATAAAAATTATGACCTCGTACAATCAGGGGCCATAATTCAGGAATTTATGGTCCGATATGCGCGAATATCGAAAGGAACCGAGATCTTTGGGTTATAAACTTACATTTCAAGTTTCAACAAAATCGGATAAAAATTGTGACGTCTATAGGATCCATGACCTTGATATACCATATTTTTACGCTTTTGAGAACGAACGGCAGCCATTTTGTTTGTCAATTTTGGGCTGATTTTCACGAAATTCAAACTCAGCCAGCCTTAGGGTGTAACGGTGATATAATAATATGTTTTTTTAAATCGGATAAAAATTATGACCTCTATAGGGTCCACAAGCTAAAAACGCGATTTTTCGTAAAATCAGGGGACATAATTTAGGAAGTTACGGTCCGATATGCACGAATATATCGAAAGGAACCGAGATCATTGGGTTATAAACTTACATTTCAAGTTTCAACAAAATCGGATAAAAATTGTGACCTCTATAGGTTCCACAACCTTGATATACCATATTTTTACGTTATTTTAGAACGAACGGCGGTCATTTTGTCTGGCAATTTTGAGCCGATTGTCACGAAATTCGACCTCAGCTGTCCTTAGGGTGTAACGGTGATATAATAATACGTTTTTTTAAATCGGATAAAAATTATGACCTCTGTAGGGTCCACAAGCTAAAAACGCGATTTTTCGTACAATCAGGGGACATAATTCAGGAAGTTACGGTACGATATGCACGAATATCGACAGGAACCGAGTTCTTTGGGTTATAAACTTACATTTCAAGTTTCAACAAAATCGGATAAAAATTGTGACCTCTATAGGGTCCACAAGCCAAAAAACGTGATTTTTCGTACAAACAGGGGCCATAATCCATGAAGTTTCGATCCGATACATGCCAATATCGAAAGCAGCCGAGATCTTTTGGAGATAAACCTATATTTCAAGTTTCGTCAAAATCGGATAAGAATTGTGACCTCTAGAGTGTCCACAAACAAATTGTGGGCGGACGGACGGACGAATATTAGTCTGGATGCATTGATCATTGGCTAGATTATCTGGTCTTTTACATTAACACAAACAAAGTCTAAGGGAGGTAACAAGTCCTAAAACAAAGTATCGACACCCATGAAATTAATTTATGCATTTCAGAAAATCCATTTGATTGTATTGCCAATTCAATATCCAACACTTTTAATTTTTTTTTTATTGTATATATGTTATATTAATTAATCCTAATTCGTCGTCACGATTCATGTTTGTTTATAATAATGCACAAATTAGGGGATTTATTGCGGGAAGGGGAGCAACTCTTACTTGGTTTGGCCAAAGATACTGGATAATCAACCACATAAAAAAACAAAATCCTGGTTGGTTACACATGGACAATGGAACGTTTTGTGAAATATTGACAGCTTTTTCCAAGACCCTCCGTACGCTGAAGACTAGGAGGTTCTGGGTGACTGAGACATATATTCACAGTCTTAGATTTCATTAAAAATCTAACCAAGAGATAAAGGCTTACATTGATTTAATAGGATTAAACTGGCCATATAAATATCCAATTTAATATTTAGACTTGATCCCTGCGAGCAATACAACGCAATTTATAACTCAAGGCCTGAATAAAAATAAGCTTTATGCTCTTTAATTAATCCTCAAAGGTTTTGTCTGATTTTTTAAAAATGTTAGCACTTCAAGCTAACGACAGTTGACTCAATGACAGGCCTTATGATACAGTGCGCACGTGCTAAGGAAGTGGTTAGAAAGCTCACAATAAATCAAATACTGGTAAAAGAAATCGTTACATATCAACCACAAGTTTGGCAATATATTTTCTTGGCAGTTGTTTTGGTATATTTTCCCGATCAATGGAGGGACCCCGTCTTAAACCAAAACGGAAGGGATTCCTACCTATCTGCAACAACCCGGCTTATATAGAGAGAGAAATGGGGTTTAACGTCCACTCAACACAAACTAGATCATTTCAGGACTAACATATGGTTCAATTTTATTTCAATAATTCGAATGCCATAGGGGCCTTTACCAGTGGAATGAAACCGGAGGACATGGAGAAAACGTACAACTGGTCATCCACGCCCCACCCCCTCCCTGGCTATTAAGATGGACAATGACAATTTGCTGTGTTATACTCCAACCTATTGCCTATGTAGTTACGCAACAATAAAATGTTTATTTGATTTACCTGGCTACAGCTTCACTATAAACAAAACCATCTACAGCTCTTTTTACTATCTCAAAACAAAGATCGGCACCGTCCATGCTGAAAATATAAAACAAAATATTTCAATAACTTTTAACATTTCAAATACCCATTTATTCATTTAATAATAATAATAATAATAATGAGGTTTTATATAGCGTCTTCTCCATGTTGACACATGCTCAAAATGCTTTAAGCAATGGCAAAACTGTCGAAACAGGAAAGTCTTTAGTGTAGATTTAGCAGTTCAGCAAATTTCAATCAAATGTCTCAAAGCATATCAAAAATAGCTGAAAACAAAAATATCAGAGATGAAGCGAGACAGAATCTATAGACCATGCTTGTTTCACTGGTAACAAAAACATGAAAAAATTCTGCAAACCAAGAGAATGACACAAGAAACCATGTCTTCGCTTGGACCACTGTCTATTACCAGTTGTCAAGATTGAATTATTAAATCACTTCCATTACAATATGTAACAATGTGAAGAGATTCAATAAAATTAATTTTAACACATAACTGGTCATGTATTACATCGATTCCTGCGACTATATTGCAGAATTCATCCCCCATTACGCATTAACTAGTTTCAACAACACTCACACAATAACAGCTGTCATCTACTTTGCAAGAAAGCATAATATTCTCCAGTGGTGCATTAATCAAGAATTATTATGACAAAATAAGAAATATGCCAAAACACAAAAAATATCTGTCAAATTGTCAATTATTATTCAATAGTCTGATTTCAAGACATCTTACCAATACCCAGAAGGGAGAGAAAGATAAATGGGGTTTAACGTCCACTCGACAAACTAGGTCATTCTGGTACTAACATATGGTTCAATTTTATTTCAATAATCCGCTTGCCTGTAGGGGTCTTTAGCAGTGGGAGGAAACCGGGGGACCCGGAGAAAATCCTTGCCAGCTGACTCAATGACAGACCTTATGATACAGTGCGTGCACTAACCATTCAGCCATCCAACCCCCTACCATACCCAGAAGGACTCAACATGTAATATCTGTCTAAAACACATATAATTGAGGGAGAGAAATTTGCCGTAACAGATCGTTTCATTGGCTAATCCCTAACATTATCCAGAACATGGGTTATATAACAACTCTCCAAGATCCTAGTGTAGTAAAGACAAGTAAAACAAAATTTTGAACTATAAAATAACGAATTGAAATAGGATCTGTGTTGTAATCAGATTGCTATTCAAATGAAGTATATATGACATGAGCTTATTAAAGTAACACCACTAGACATTGATGCTTATCTTTTTTTTTTAATTAAAAGTAGCTTACGTTTCTTTTCCTGGTTAAGGTGATAAGGTCTTTTAAATATTATAAAGTAAATGACTACACCATATACTATAGCTATGTGTTGAACTTAGATCTGTTCAAAAGATTATGTTAAATTAAACAGATGAGATTTCCATCAGGAAAATACCACATTCATTAGTACAGTTGGTCGAGAATAGTACGATGTTACACCCCATTCTATTCGATACAAAAATATTTACTCAAATTATCCTTTTGTATTTGGTATTAAGATCACTTCAGGGTGTCTTTGCACAATTAAACATTTACAAAACATTCAAAGGGTGGTTGAAAAAAATCTCTTCTTGACTGGCATCCAGGCCTTGCAACACTGTTGGCAAAAGTGTGTACGCGTCGAAGTGGGCTATGTAGAAAAATAAATGGAAGCCTTCAACTTTCTATAGGTCTTTCATAGATAGGCTTCAAACTCTTCATCCAGCTTTCATGCATTCCACAGACCACTTTACGCTTGAGACACACACGTATGAATCGAAAATATTAGGTGTCATTACGTTCATTTAAATCAAACCTCAAGACTTACCTTTTCAAACTTGAAATGAAATGAAATGGGGTTTAACGTCCTACTGTTCTGCTCCTATACTGGGCATAATGAAGACGGGCATACGCCATACAGTGTGCTATGAGGGAAATTTTGTCTGGGCAGCGGCGCTACGGCCTTATTAATATATCGAATTCCAACTGCCAAGGGATCTTTTACATGCATGCCAATGTGTACACGGGACCTCGGTTTTCCATCTCATCTGAAGGACTAGACAGCTGTCCTTGTCAGGCCCTCTGTTCTGCACCACTGACAAGGGTTTCCTCCCACTGCTAAAAAACCCCTACGCACAAGCGAATTATTGAAATAAAAATGAACCATATCTTAGTCCCGAATTGACCTAGATTGCGTCGAGTGGACTATAAACCCCATTTCTCCCTCTCCATATTTATAACATTAAAGACACAATCTATTTCTGCAGGTGAAATTAACCTATAAATCCATATATACTTGTATCTGCAGGAAATGTCAAAATTTTCTTTTAAATATCTCATGAAATATATAGAAGACCAAATGGGACAATATTTATGATTCTTGTTTCTACATTCCAGTTTGTCGTGTAAAATTAAGAAATTATTTTTTAATTTTAATATTTAATGATATATAAAAGTTACCGATAAAACGCCGAAAATGAAACATAAAGTCAATTTTTTGTTTAAAAAGTTGATTTTGTGCATGAAATGTTGACATAAGAATGTAGAAACAAGAATCATTAGTTTAGAATGTTGCGTTCATGTCTAAAATGTTCAAACTGGAATGTAGAAACAAGAATTATGAATATTGTCCCATTTGGTCTTCCATAGAAATAATCAATATTTCTTTCATGTAAATAAAAAGGAAGAGAGGAAGAAATTAGATTTAATATCCCTTATTAATGAGATCTTTTAATGTAGTCAATCTTTAATTAACAACCCTTATTAACCAATTTTGAAGAAGTATCTGGATAAAATTGACCTTTAGATGAGACCCACTGCTGTTCCCTTTAATCCCTAATTCCGTTATCTTTTATACGGACATAACTATCAATAACTTCAAACACACTGTCTAATTTATCGTTATTTAATGTCGAGACCTTTAATTATCACTGAATCTACTTCTTTTTCCTCATCATCAATGACAAAATTGATCTCTCTCATTCTCTATAAAGATTTTTGTGTTTGAAATGCTGTAACAACAAATGTCTGAATTCAAATAACATGAACCCAAATGGTTTTAATTACTTCATGCAGTTTTTAATGTATCAATTATATTTTTTTCTAAGTACAAGCGGGGCATTGGGTGGTTGAATGGTTTAATTCATAAGGTCTGTCATTAAGTCAAGTTGCATGGTTTTTTGTACGATCCAAATGACTAGACAGCTGTCCTTGTCTGGACTCCCCTCCATCCATGCTGCACCACTAACAAGGGGAAACAATGCCGGAAAATCCTGACAAACTTTCTCGGCCAATGCAAGGATTGAACATGCGACCTACAGGAGAGCGAGCCAGGGAACAAAACCATGCCACTTAATTCAATCACAAACTGTATGATCTTAAGCGTACATTTCAGTCCAATCGACCCCTCCAACTCCACCTTATAATTGCAACAAAGTTTTGGCACTATAACTCTGACAAGGCATGATTATCTAGATATTTGGTGATATATTGTGAAAAATCATACTTTGTATTCCTCCATAGAAAAAGGTCCACAGAGCTTCAGGATTAAAGTTTGAAAGATTTTTTTCTCCCCTTGAAGCAATGAGTTTTAATTACTAAAATAAATCTCAATCTGATTAAAATACAGATTTATATTTCATTTCATTTTTTTTATACTTTTGATGGCCTACACTACATGAAGATCTGACCAGTTGTACTGGAAGGTTGTGTCAGGGGTCGTACGAGCGGCTTTTGATCCTATGACGTCAGATATTCATTAATCAATCAGCGTTGACGTTTCTAGTGGTTTACCCACAGTTCCGTGCATTGCGTAACAGATAGTTTCATTGGCTAATCCCTTACATCATCCAGAAGGTGGATTATATGTAACAACTCTTCCAGATCCTAGTGTAGTACAGACAAGGAAAATGAAATTTTGAACTAGAAAAAACGAAATAGGATCTGTGTTATAATCAGATTGTATAAATCTGGGAATTCTGCTTTAACCAGTCGTAGTTCAGTGTTATTTATTTATCACCACACTTTCAAAGCTACCAGAATTAGTTTAATCTAGATCTGTCAGAGAATTAGACACAACTCAATGTATATAATGACTCTCTTAGATTTCTCTAGAATTTCAATAAATCTAAGATTTTTATCAGGGGAATTACAAATGTTATAACCAGGAGCGATTTTCAGGTGAAAAATTCAATAACGGTCAATTTAAGCGAATCCTATTCTGTGAACAAGATGAAAACAAGATGAAAACATAAAGACAATTTGTTCCTTTTGATTGTATTTTAATTCCAGTAAGTCGATATCCATTTTATATATATAGTATGGCAACATCCATGAAATCAAATGAAATAAGGTTTTAGACTACTAATTTTCCACACCAACAGAGCTAATGAAAGATAGAGAGAGAAATGGGGTTAAACGTCCACTCGACACAAACTAGGTAATTTCGGAACTAACACATGGTTCAATTTTTGCTTGTGTATAGGGGTCTTTAGCAGTGGGAGAAAACCGGAGGACACAGAGAAAACCCACGAGGTTGGAAAGGCGACCCTACTCCTTGTCACGTACAACCAGGGCATCAGACCAATAGGCAATCTAATTAAGATACAGATCTATATTTCGTTTCCTTTTTTATATACTTTCCATGGCCTCTACTACATGAAGATCTGACCGGTTGTAGCGATAGGTTGTGTCAGAGGTCATACAAGCGGCTTTTGACCCTATGACATCAGACATTTAACCAATTAGCATTGATGTTAGTAGTGGACTACCCACAGTTCTGTGCATAACACGCCTAAAGCTCGCTGTAACAGACCATTTCATTGGCTAATTCTTCACACTTTTCAGAACACGTCAATGATAACAATTCTTCCAGATCCTAGTGTAGTAAAGACAAGTAAAACGAAATTTTGAACTATAAAAACTAGACCAATAGGATGCCGTATCGATATGTTTCTACTTTTATTTTATATTTAAATGTTAGTCTTTATAAAGACTTCATAATCAGTCATATTATTTAGGATTT